ATATATATATATATATATATATATATATATATATATAATGTATGTATGTATGATTATACGAGTATACACACTATATATGTTTATATATGTACTTACACTGAAGTTTTAGTCATCTCAAAAGCTTCAGTATTCAGTTGATCTTCAGTATATCTGTATCAGAGTTAAGTTATCAATACGCTATGTATCAACTACAAAATGTACATGACTATGGGCAACAGTAGTCACGACCAATGATATAGTAAAACATCACTATATTCTATAAGTTTCGTACACAATTGTTTATACAGAGACCCTTCAATGAATATTATGCAACACAAGCATATCTACTTAGGAATATATGGCATGTTCGTTAAGAAAATCGGTGAGAGGCATTTAGACCACACATTACCGATGCCTCTTTGATCTGAGTAATAATTTATTTTGCCCCCCCCCCTACTTCCCCCACCTCCCCCTCCTTTTGAGCTGTTTATCTGCCTACAGGTGGGCAGCCTGGCCTTCTCTCCAGGTACCTATTTCTAATGTCACAAATGGATTTTTTTTTCTGTGGTACCTTAAAATGTCATCAGATATGTTGTAAAAAATAATGGTTCAGTTATGATAAGATTCCTGAGATTCCTTTTAGTAAATCTATTGACCTGGTCTGTGTATCTTCCAAAAATAGTTTGTTTATCTTCGTGTTCCTAAACTTGCCCTATCGTTTGTCTGGTTATTTGTTTGTTAGAAAAGAGGAATAAGTGAGATGGTGATATCACTCTTATCTAGTCTGGGTAAGGGTGGCAGATGTCCGTTTTGAGATACACTGCCCCCAGAGGTGTGGGTAATATGTGGTTTGAGTCAATAGGTATGATGCATATGTACATCATTGTTGTATAGGAATGCATGCAGATAAACGTACCCGTATACTGTATATAGACACACACACACACACACACACACACACACACACACACACACACACACACACACACACACACACACACACACACACACACACACACACACACCAAAATACGTACACATGCAAATGCCTCACTAGACACGACATAAAAACGTAGTAAAAAAAAAAAAAAAAAAAAGAAAAAAATCCCTCATACTTCCTATATCTCGACGACTCGCCCGAGAGTGACTCACCTCCACCGAGTCACTCCGTCGAGTCGCTGAGTCTCCCACTCGAACCACTTGCTGGAGAATTAGTCCACGCCACAGCCCTCTCTCGTGCCGCCCTCTGTCTCCTCATAGTCTCCTGTGCCTAACACTGACTTAACACTGACTTAACACTGACTAAGATTGTACACTTGTAGAATGTTTTCGTATGACTTTAAACACTCGATAGGCAAATATGATCTAATATATTGTATTGTTAGTTACAACAGACTTTCTATATGTAAATCATACTAAGGGGAAATATTATCCCCGGGTAAATAATGAATCTTTATCGTAGTCTCTATGTGATAAAAATAAAAAATATCCTTGTTACTCGTTCGTTTTATTTTCCTAAACAATATTCTCTGAATGCTATGACGTCAGTTTCAGAGCTGTCCAAAATCTACAGATGATTATGACCGTATTTGTGTGTATACATATATGAATATCAATATCAGTATATATATGTATATATATATATATATATATATATATATATATATATATATATATATATATATATATATATATTGTATATATGTATATATATATATGTGTATATATATATATATATATATATATATATATATATATATATATATTATATATATATATATATATATATATATATATATATATATATATATATATATAATATATATATATATATACATGTATGTATATGTATATATATACACACATATATAAGTGTCTGTGTGTGTGTGTGTGTTGTGTGTGTATGTATATATATGTATGTATCTATGTATATATATATATATTATATATATTATATATATATATATATATATATATATATTATATATATATACAAGCATAAATATATATACACACACACACACACACACACACACACACACACACACATACATATATATATATATAATATATATATATATTGTTGGAAAAGAATATAACAAAATAAATGTTATTCTGGCTCCTGGTCAGTAACCGGAAATCCCCAGCTTCAAATGAAAGCTATTCAATTCAGATTTATCCCAAAGAAAGAAAGAAAGAAAGAAAACGAATAAATAAACAGACAGGTCGAAGAGAACCAAGAGGAAGGGAGAGGAAATGCATATCACTCTGGTTAATCTTCCAAGATATGATAAGCTCTGTGCCTGACTCCGCCACACTTGCATAGAAGAGAAGATTGTTGAGAGAGAGAGAGAGAGAGAGAGAGAGAGAGAGAGAGAGAGAGAGAGAGAGAGAGAGAGAGAGAGAGAGAGAGAGAGAGAGAGAGAGAGAGAGAGAGAGAGAGAGAGAGAGAGAGAGAGAGAGAGAGACCGAGAGACCAAAAGAGAACGAAACAGAGAGAGAGAGAGAGAGTATTGTATGTATACGTGCGTGTGTATTATAAGAGAGAGGAATAGAATACCTGATCGAGGTAGTGATTTTCGAGCCCAAGAATTCCCAACAACGACTCACCCACCTTAACATGATGATGATGATCGTGACAATGGTAATAATAATAATGATAATGGCAATGAGAAAAATAATGAAACTATTCCGAATATAGTTTTGTGTCAGAAAACCCTTTTAAAATCACGCTACCACGTCAGCTGTAAGTTTTCTATCTGAAAGGGAATGAGCGCTGAAGATAGCAATGGTATTTTTCGCAGATTTGCTTTAGCAGTTAATAATAACACTCAATATCGAGTATTCCATTACTTATAAGCTAGGACCTATTTATATTTCCCCGCAAATTAAAGGTGAATAATTATGATAATAACTGTTTTATCAGTCGCTGATCCGCTGCATATTTTTTTCTTATTTCACAAATTTACAACCAAAAGAAATAAGGAAGCTAACACCAGCCATCTAGATGTGTATATATATATATATAGATCAGTTCAAATATTTCATTCATCAGTGCCAATGCTCTAGATAATCTATCAGTAAATGGGTCGTTTGACTGTCTAAACGTCATTTGGTTGTTTCTGGAGAAGAAAACTGCCTAAAAATAGCAAAAACAGGGAATGGAAGTCATATAACTTATGAACTAATTAAAACGGCAATCTATTTTAATTACAGTCTGGGATTATGAACCCCCATGGTCGATTTGCCACAGCTGTCACAAATGACTGGGGTTCACTTGGTTCATAGTGATTAACTAGATGTGAGGGGCAGTAATTCCGTCAAAGTCACAGTTTATATGAGACCATCTTGACCTATGGACATGTCGCTTACATCCGAAGTGTTTAAACGTTGAATGAAAATACAGTTCTCTTTTTTCTACAAATATACCTACAGCAACAATTCGATTAGCTTCCACTCTATTTTCGTAATGTTCCACCTAGGGTATCTTTTTGCTCGGGTATCTCCGGGCTTTTCAGGGTGCACTTAAAAAAATATATTGCCTGTACTTCGCTTAATGAAATCATCAATATGTATATCTATTGTGTCAACAAAAGTTATATTAGAAAATTAATTTAAAACATTTAGAGTGAACAATCACAAAATTCGTTTTTTTTTTCTTATTTCCAAAAAGCGAAAAAACAAGAAATAGCTAATTTGAAACTGAGGATCTACACTCGCGTCGACCAGCGTTAGTGATTTGGAATCCGTGCTTCTTTCTTCAGGAAATATACGCCATGAAACGCGAAACTATGGCGACCACGGGGAGTAAGTCCTTGTGCTCCATGTTGCATAACCGAGAAGTACTTTGCGCGGTGTTACTCAAGCGAGAGGCGTGTGCCAAGGTCTATGTAAGTACTTATATAGACCTTGGCGTGTGCGGTCTATTACGGCGGTGCTTCTCGCAGTTGGAGCACAACGCCGGGCTCGGCTCTCGGACACAAGGCAGGTCAGAGACGTACCCAAGACCAGTTGAACCGCGCCTTTAACTGCTTCTTGACCCAAACGATTACAGGTTTGCGATACCCAATAGACCCTGGCCAGATCCAGTTTTGCTAAAGAGAAATAGAAAGTAGATAGAATTTAAGATTATTTTAGACACTTAGAAACAAAAACTATTTTCACGTGTTCTGCACCCTAGATGTTTTAACACTAAGAAAAGAGACACTTTGTGATGAAAAAGGAGTAGGAAAATAATCACAAGAATGATAATTCAGTCTCTCTTCCCTAGTATAAAACCAGGAAAGAAAAGGACACTCATTTTCCTTTCGTGTAGATTACACTATCACTGTTTCACAAATATCGCCTTATACATAAACATATACAATTACGTGTACAAGAACTGTTTTGCTATGCTGTTCACGTGAAAAAGTAATATAATTGTTGAAAGCTAAAAGCTGTAGACTGCCAAATTCTGATGACCAAAATTAAAAAGCTGAAATAATAATATGTGCAAATATTTACTTGGTACTGAGTGAATATGGATAGAAAATAAAACATACACTAGAAGCACTCAGAGAGAGCATACCTCCGCCAAGGCAATAGGGTCATTCACGCTTGAAGAATTACATTAAAATCACCTCTTTCTCAAGTGCACTGGTGACGTCCGTATTTCCCTACCTCGCAATGCTCATGAATCCTTTTAAAAAAATATATCCGGTTTACCACCAAAACTTATGGCATCTTAGTTGGGCTAAACCACATCGCGGGTAAAATATTTCATAAAGATCTGTTCATAACTTTTTTGAGTCATCCTACTTATCCTACGAACAAACTAATGAAGCTACCATAAGCATAACCTCATCGATGGTCTATAACGTTTGTGAAAATAGGATAAAAAAGCATAAACATGGATTACACTGCCGAATCTCTTGCACTTATTATAGACCCCGTTTTTTACAGAAGCACGTAGACATGATATTTCAGTTTGTTATCTTATCGCCCTTTCCTGACTCTATCTGAAGCCAGAGCATTTCCTCCAGTTCACCGCAGACTCTCGCAGCTGTGATTTCTCTTGGGCAAACTCTGAGAGGTGAATAACTTGACAATATTTTACGCAATAATTTGACTACTAACAAACGTTTGGTTTGCATGTACATATGTGTGTATAAATGTGTATCTGCAGTGATAAGCTTCACATATAGATATAGATATATGTGTGTGTTTTGTGTGTGTGTGTGTGTGTGTGTGTGTGTGTGTGTGTGTGTGTGTGTGTGTGTGTGTGTGTGTGTGTGTGTGTGTGTGTGTGTGTGTGTGTGCGTGTGCGTGTGTGTACACAGATAGAGAAATAGATAGAAAATATAGAGACCGATATAGATACATGTTTCTTACATAGATTGAGCACCTTTTGATTTTATGAAGTGTTGATCCGGGTCTTTCACTGACCGTCAAGAAAGGCTGGTCCAAAGTTTAGCTCCGCCCCTGCTTCGTCCTCTGAGCGAATCTTGAATATAAGATTGTTACTGAGGCCCAAGACTTCACATAAATATTGGAGTGCTTTGTTCTCTCTATCAGCATGAATATTTGAAGCTTGGGATGCAGTAAAAAATCTCATAATTTTTGGGGGGTAGAGAGAGAGAGGGGGGGGGGAGACAATAGATAGATAGATAGATAGATAGATAGAGAGAGAGAGAAAGGGGGGGGACAGATAGACAGATAGATAGATAGATAGAAAGAGAGAGAGAGAGAGAGTTCACACAAAATAATTTATTACATCTTGAACATCGTAACCCAAGTATTTAAGGCCTATATAAAATTTCAGCAGGAGTTATGACGATAAATCCATAATGTCACTGTAGTTATAACAGCACGATTTTTTGTTGTTATAGCTTTTGTTGTTGTTGTCATTATTATCATTATAATTATTACCATCATCATCATCATTATTGTCATCATCATTATTGTTTTGTTAATGTTTTATCATTGTTACTATTATGATTATCATTATTATTGTTATTATCCTTATTCTTCTTATTATTATTGTTATTAATATCATCACTATTATCATTATCATTATTAGCATTAGTATTATCATCATCATCATTATTAGTAGTAGTATTACTGTAATTATTATTATTATTATTATCATTATTATTATTATTATCATCATTATCGTTATGAATATTATTGTTATTATTGTTAAGATAATAATGATGATGATAATAATAAGAATAATGATAGTAATAATAATAATAATATTATCATTATCATTATTCTTCTAATTATCATTATTATCGCCATCAGTATCATTAATTATGTTATCACTAATATCATTATCATCATTATTGTTGTTGTTGCTATTAATATCACTCTTATTCTTTCTTAATCATTATTAACATCATTAATACCAATATCATCATTAACATCACTATTACCATCATCATTGATAACAATATTGCCATTGTTATTATTATCATTATTACCATTATTATTATTACCATCAATATTACCATTATTATCATTATTATTATCATTAATAATATCTATCTTATTACTTTTATTATCATGATCATGATCATGATCATCATTATCGTCAGAAGTAATAGTTGTAGTAGTAGAGATAGTAGTAGCATTAGTAGTAGTAATTGCTGCTGATGTATGACTTTAATAATAGTATTACTACGATAAGTGCTATTGTCATAATATGAGCAAGAGAGAGTGTGTGAATGTGTGAAGGTTTATACCGTTTATCAGATGATATTATTTTTGTCTCTGCCAATAGTAACAAAAATAAAAAAAAATACTGATCACCTCTGCTATAAATGACAATCCATTCTTACAATCCATACTATTTATATTCCTACGATGTCAGTGTAGAAATAATAAACATCCATATTTTCAGATTTCGGAATGAAGATCCTCGTTTGCCTCTTTGCAATCTGCACATTATTACCAGCTGTCACCTCGAATAAGCTCCTCAAAGACACAGGACAAGGACAAGGAAATCCTTCTTCTGTTGAGGGAAATGACCAAGACGTATACGTAGTGAAGGTTGTCCCTGCACATATGACGGCACAGGGAACAACTAGTGAGAAAGTGCATTTGAAGGTACAAGGATCAGCCAACGAGAGAGAACATGTAAAGGTACAAGGAACAGCCAGTGAGAGAGTACATCTAAAAGTACAAGGAACTAGTGAAAGAGTCGATGGTGAGATTAAGAAGACGGGGAAGAAGGAAGGAGAGGAGAAGGTTTTTTTGGAGAAGAATTTGGAGTTTTGTAAAGTAATCCATCAGATGCTTGCCTGTGACTTCAAGGGGAAGAAGGTGAGATGAGGAAGTGCTTAACTGAAAGCGTTTTAGTATCTTCTGTGCTTCTGCTGGAGACACGTGCTTTGTGCTTTCTGTGTTGCCTCGTCTTTAGGTATCACAGAATATATAAAATGAATATAGAAATAATCACATCCTTCTTTTGCAGTTGGTGAGAGTAAAGGATTTCCCAGCTGGTGAGGGCGTCGAAAAACTCATCATAAGGAACGTCGTCGA